ACATATATACATATACACATATTACAATATACTAGACTTATAGCGAATTTAATCAACTGTACCGTACTAGAATAACGTGCATTTGCTATTATATATGACATATCTAAATAGCAATAACAATATAATTTCTTTAATGAAAATTATTAATATATATTCTGCTAAATAACATAAATTTATTGTTAACTATATAGTTGTTTGAAACATTTACTTTTATATTTCAATAATTTCATCTATAGCAGCATTTAGTGCTTAATTAATCTGATATATTGCAGATAATTGAAATCTATTATTTACTATTATCTATTATTTATATTTGTTTCAGCATCAAAATTAATGTCTAACGTAAATTCATTATTTGCTTCGGCATATGTACATTATTGGCCACGCATCTTTAGAGGCAAAGAATTGTACTATCCACCTTCGTTTGACGCTCGTGTTGTATTATATCCAACAGATAAGAATTTAAGAGATTACCTGGCTTGGCGACAAGCTGATGTACATGTTAATAATTTATACAATACTTGTTTTTGGAATCTTATTTTGAAAGGAAAATTGACTCCGAGTCAGGTAAACATAAATAATAAACTTAGAGTTATAGTCTGATAAATAATATACGAAGCGCTAATTGTTTGATTATTTAAAAAATTTAAGTAATTTTATTATTGATAAAAAAATATTTATATGTACTTTATATTTACTTTATGTTTCTAAGCGCTCATTTGTTAGCTTCAAATCCTTTTCATTTGAAAACTATTGCGTAGGTGCAATTTTGCTATAGAACAAAATGGCTTCTTTTAATATAAAAAATTATGTTTCTGCATTCTATTATGTTGTATAAAAATTCTATTATATATTTACCACCATTGTATATCTTATAATAACTACATATATTATTTTTCAATATTAGAGTTATATCTCTTAATTTTTTATAAATAAAAAACGAACTATTTATTTTTTTAGCAAGAGAGATATCTTTTAAAGATAAATTATTACATAAGTTTTACGAAATTTCTTTTAACTGTTAGTCTGGGATATTATAAATATTGCATTGTATTCAGAATTTATAAAGTATAATGTGATGATCGACAATATATCTATATAATAAAAAATCTATATAATATCAAACTTTTTCCATTTTAACACTTCTTTTTACAAATATTACAGGCAGAAGAAAAGCTTAGAGGTACTCTGGCATCGCATAAAAATGAATTGCTTTTTCAAGAATTTGGTATAAATTATAATAATGAACCACCACTATTTCGAAAAGGTACAACGCTTATTCGAAAATTAGTACCTGGCGGTACAGGTAAATTGAAGTCTGCTGTAGTTGCTTTGGTGGATGATATTATTGGTGATCGTTTCTGGAAAGAGAACCCAGAAGTAATAGGTTTGAAAAGTTTAGCAACTTATCAACCCTCAAGTACCTTAGCAAATAATATTAACAATACAATGTCTGCATCGACAACCCCTTTACCTACTGCAATAAAATTAGGGAACAATGTTCTTTCATCTTCACAAGTGACCAATGTAAATTTAGCTAATGAAGGAATACATTCTAATAGAAGCAGAGAGACGAATGGAGATTGAATACAACGTGAAAATTAATGTATTTGTAGGAGATAAGTACTTCGCACTTTGTTTTTTATATAATAAACTTGAATTGAAATTGCAGCTATATAATATTTCTAAACTTCCCAAAGAAAAAGTCCTAACAAATAAAAAAATGCTGTAGGATAATATAGAATAATTAAAAGATAAATAAGATAAATATTTCTTTAATCCTTAAGAAATAACTATTACATTTTACGCAAGAAATATGAGAAAAAGTATAAATATAAGTATACTGATAGATGAATTTATTACTGAATTCAATGATACAATGTTTCAATGAAACATGATAATCCTTATATGAGTAAAAATGTGTATCTTCAAAATTAAATTAAAAAATATGTAAGGTGACAATCCTGTTATGTCAAAATCACAACAAATAGCTATGATAAAATTACTGCTAAATAATTATTAATTTGTTATTTTTATTTCTATCTTTAATATCAAAAAATAAAAAATTATAATGATCCATGAAATTGAAGAATTATTAGTTATATTATTAATATACATGGAATGTAATATATATTTATTTCTTTAAAGTACATATATCTCTCATAATTACAACGAAGAATAACATGAGATGAAAAGAACTCGCATTGAACATTATATTAAAATAATATACACATTGATTATGCTATTCCACTTGAAACTCTCATAACAACAATTCTAAAGTATAATTCTCTTGATATATTTTATGTGGCTTAAATATTCGACAAATATATACATGTAGATATTTATTTCATTTTCTAAAATCAATTTTTTTTTGTGATATTCTACAAATAATTTCTAAGTCTTTTAGTAACAATTAGATATAATTATATAAATATAATTTTGCATTATGCAAAAAAATTGAGTTATTATTAGAGAAGTAAATACAAGTGGCATTGTCAATTTAATATGATTAATTTAAAATATAGGAATATAATTATCTATTTTAGCACGATGCTTCTGAGCAACACATTCTGCAATCCATACAATATTGCGGCATTCTTGTTCCTTTAACTTCAAGTAACTGTAGAACACTCCAAAATGAAATTGTTGAAGGAATGCATGAACATTTAAACGAACCTATATACACACACACACATACACATACATATATATATTATATATTTATATATATATATATAAATACCGATATCAAAAAGTTAAATATTATTTAATATTAGATAATATAACATATATATTATTAGAATCTATAAATATTTTTTCTCAAAACAAATGTACTTGCCTCATGTTCAAAAAACTTGTCTTCTAAGGTCTTATCACCAGGATTATTACCTGCTCCTTCAAATAAGGCGCTATATTCCTATATGATAATATAAATATATAATTAATTTTAATATAAATATATATAAACAATATATATAAAAAAAGGAAAATAAAAAAATTTTATGCAATTGTATAAAAATATCTTCAATTACTCATTTTAAATTTTACTCACAGCATAATATTCCGCTACAGCTTTAACTTGTTCATAATCATCAGCTCTTGCTAAAGCGGCCAATCCATCCGGATTCAAACGCCCACAACGTGGATACAATTTTGCACGATCATCTTTGCCCAATTCAGTGCCAAATGAATTAATAGTTATAATAATTGCTCTTCTATCTGCTTCAAACTATAAATATAAAAAAGAATGTTATTTTCAAAGTATCATCTTATTATTTTATAATAGAATATCTTACAGCAAGTATTTCACACATAGTATCTGCAGTTGTACCACCAAGTTCTTTGCAAAATTTATAAAATGCTTCCAGATAAGCTTTATAAAGTGTGTTTCTTATTATCTCAATATTCATCTCATCTAAATCCTGTTCAGAAATACAATCCACAAAGAAAGGTGCTATAACAAATTAATTATTGCATGATTCAAAAAAATATGTATAAATGATATTTATATGTAATATATAAGAATAAGAAAATATATAAATGATAAATATAATTCTAATTAGAATCATACCTAAAGGTGTATCTACCAATACAGCATTGTATAACTCGGCAGGTGTAGCAGCAACATGAATTGCTTCCATTTGTTCAAAACTGCCAAGTGGATGACACTTCGGAATCAATTCTGAAATAGGGCGTTGATGCAAAGTACCAGTAATTAATAAAATGATATTGTCAATCATATAACTGTAAGTGATGAAATCCAAGAACTGAGAGAGTGGCTCGACGGAATGATTGCGCATATGTTGAAACTCTACAACCAGTTTCTCCCTCAATTTATCATCAATTACACTAACAGAAAGTGGAGATGGTTCGTTGGCCAAAAAACTGCCATAGTCTGTACCAGCCAAGTGTAATTTCAAATCTATATAAACAATTTTTAAATAGTTAGAGCAAGAAGACAGATAAAATGTGATTAATGTATTATAATTAATAAAAAATAACAAATCATGAATTTTTGTGTCAAATAAAGATTTTAATTCTTTCTTAAATTTTTTTGAAGCTACATTTTTACAAAATGAAATAATTGCAAATATGCGAAATGCTAATAATTTTTTTATTAAATATACATATTTAAAACAGTTTGAAAAAATTAAATTTGTCAAATGATCGAATCAATAATAATACCTTCGAGCGTTTCACATTGGACTAAGTTCAAGTAATCGCTCTGTTGAAGTATGCCACATTTAAAACCACGGCATAGGCCCTCCAAATAGCCACCGTCAATGTTGAATAAACAACCCTTCATTTCGCAATGAGATTTTTCTTAAACACGATTGCACAGAAAACCGATATGTCAAAACTGAGTTTTGAGGCTCGCCCTTTCTCAAAATCATATGACTAAACGAGCAGAAGTTTGTCGCGAGTTCTCACGTGATATCGATATAATGTTCGAATCGATTTTCGAGATGATATCGATATGATGTTTGATCAATTTTGGAGATATAGGCGCGATTTTTAAATAAAATTTTTTTTAATCATAGACCGATGAGACATTAAAAGATTAACAATCTTACGAAAGTCATGTAACGACACATAATTATTAAAATTTTGAACAATTAGCCCATAAATATTATTAATTTATTAGCTTGACATTATGCCGTTTTTTTATATATGTATATGTATACCCATAGAATATTTTGACATCTTTGAGGCATCTTTTTAGATGTCGTTTAGATTATAGTTATTTATGATTAATCGGCCGATTATTCCATTAAAATTGACTAATCGCATTTTGTCGTTTACAGATTGATTATTAAATTGATCACAGTTGACACATGCTACATTTGTCTTTTTACATTATGACTAGGGCTGGTTTGTAAATTCATTGCCAGCACCTGAAAATCTATAGTATACGTAACATAAACTATACATTTTCAGTATTGGCAATGAATTTACGAGTACAATTTATGTCCTGTTTGAGATATTGTATAAAGTTAAGCTTGAGACACAATAAAAAGGTACAGAAGAGGGTGCAGTTTACTTGGTGTTACAAATGCTTCAAAGCATTTTTTGATTGGTCAATTCATAGAATTCTTTGTTTTGTCTGGTTAATCAAACGCTTCAAAGCTTTTGTAGCGCTAAATGGACTATAGCCAGAAACAGGAAATAGCAACAGGCAACAGATTTCGACCAATCAGAAGCTGTGAAGAATATCGGAGAAATTTCTGATTGGTAGATATCTGTTCTGTTGCCTGTGTTTTTCATTGTGCATCTAGCTTAAATGTGATTCATCTTTCTATCTTTCATTTTACGTTTTTACGCTATTTGCAATCCTCCTTATCGTCGATATTGTGTCACCTATTTGTTATTAGGTTTTTATATTTTTACCGATTTTATTATCATGATCTCTGTTGGTTTCATTCTGAGCTAAAATCAATAAGAGGAGTAAGAAAAGAGATGTATACGTCTATGTGCGATATGATGTGATAATCGCCATTAGTCCTTTGGTTTTTGACATTTTTGCTGTGCTATTGATAAATAATTGCATTACGTCCTAATTAATACGTTAAAATGTTCAATAAGAAGAAGGAACCGAGACATCCTAGATCATTTGATGGTTTAGAACAGGTATATCGTTTTGTTTTCCTTTTTTATGCAAGATTCTTTATACTAATCTTTTTATATAGTTTTTATACATAGCTTCAACATAGGTTTGTATTACATTTCAGATTATAAATTTATTTTTTACAATTATAGATTATATATGTGTATAAATATGGCACATCTTTATTCTACATATTTTCTAATATAATTTTGTTTTTTTTAAATGTTTTTTAATTTTTTATTATTAGACATTAATTCTTTTTTTTATTTATAATGGTTTTATTTCATACAGTATGGCATTTTTGAAGTACCTGATATAAATTTGGCCAATATTAATGATAACACAATTAAAGATGATGACGACAATGATGAGAGTTTAGAAGCTGAATTAGCTGCTTTGGCAGCGGGTAATGATACAAGTTATAGAAGCAAACGCACTAGTAAGTTACCTTTACAAATTATATATTTTATATATTTATATATATATATATATATATATATATATAATATATATATGTAGAGAAGTATATCTA